CCGTATACATCAATAGTTTTCTCTTTTATTCTCCGACTAAAAAGGGAATAGATAGACAGGACCACTTAACGAGTATCATCAAACAGAAGACGGAACGTATATTAGGGAAAGTTCAACATTTTGCTAGATTGTTTTTTTGTGAGGTGAAAATCATCAAATGACTTCTTTCGCCCAGGGCCGGACGGGAGGGAGTGTCAGACTCTTACTGACTAAAACCCTGTTCCTTCTCCTGCTCTGGGCCGATGTCGCGGTGCCTCATTGCGCTTCTGGTTCAGTTCTGGGTACCGAATCTAAAATTCCTCAACCGTCGCCCTTACAATAAGACTAGAGATGTAGTTATTAAGTTAATTAAAATTATACGAAGGCAGTTTGATTTAAGACTATGAAGAAAGTGTTTTAACTTTAGTTTCAAGAACTTAAGTTTTCTGCAGCGTACTTATATACAATTTTGAGTTTGATTTTAGTTGCGCATTGCTACAGAACTTATGTAATTAAATTGATTACTAATTTTAGTGATTATTATTTATCATTCATGATCTTTGCTCAGGTGTAACACAATCCCATTCATGTTATGCACAAGAGACTTGACAGTAACCGTAACTGAAAGACTATTATATTATCCGTAGGCAAGCTGGCTTGAAAATCGTTAACAAAACCAAGGTATATCCTATATCTCTAGGCTTTACTATATGATGTATCTATGACAGTGTACCGAGTACCGATCTATTGAACATGTATACCATATTTTGGTTGAATGTGTCCGTAAGGAAGCCGACAAAAGCTTTTGAGATAGAATATAATATAATAAATTTTTCTTTAAATTTATAGACAAGTGCATGTAGGTCTAAAAAAAGATAGACAATTTACTTAAATACCCATAGTACTTTGTACTAATATACTTTGTATTTTCCTTAACTGAAACTTATTGCATATTGCATGTATGAGACATGCTTTTTCTATGTGATAGGTCGGCAAACGAGCAGACGGATTACCTGATGGTAAGCAATCAGCGTCGCCAATAGACACCCGCAACAACAGAGGAGTTACGAGTGCGTTGCCGACCTTTTGGAAATTTAGGATTGGGGGAGGGGCAGGATTGGGCCTCCGCTAACCTCACTCACACGGCGAGATACAACGCTGTTATGTAATGCAATTATGTAATATAGTATTGGCTCATATAATATCTCTATATTATATGAGCATGATGGTAATGATCGAATCTCATTAAGTAAAAAAACACCGATGACAATAAGACATATCCATACATTTGTTTTGCTTCGAAAGCGATAATCATTTATTAATACTGAACTGGTTTAACAACTGTTTCTAATGAAACTGCGTTCTACAACCTAGCTCTCAGTAGTGACGGGCAAACCTGTTTATGCAGAGAATGCCCAAAACTCTAGTCGAGTATCAGGGGCTGTTCAGAATGGTAATTACTAGTTATCAATTCATATCATTTTAAGTGAGAAACCGCTATGTTTCGGTAAGAATGAGCCAACTCAACCTTGAAACATTGCGTTGCGTTGTATGTTGCTTTTCGCTGTGTGAGTGAGGTTTTAGGTGCCCAAATCCTTTCTTTTCCCCAATTCTCCTAAACCTCAATTTCTTAACCCCCCAAAAGCCGGCAATGCATTTGTTACAACTCAATATGGCGGGTATCACATCATGATCCGCTTGCTCATCAGTCAACCTATCCCATGAAAAAATCAAATAGTAGATCAAAGTGATGTTGATTCTGTACTAGTTGTTTTGAATCAAATTATTATGATGTGAACCATCATAATAATTTGATTACCTACCTGGAACTAGACTTATCATTATTTTAGACAAATTTCCAAAAAATACTATTAATAATTTTATGCTCTGACTTTAAATAGCTCAAATGAAAAATTTACTTACAATTGGTATTCAAATTCAAAAATGAGTTCTATAAAATCGTTGGTTTTATAAGTTTATTTAGCCCGAGTGGCATTAGTGCACTTGGAGTTGCAAGCGTGATTCCAACGGAGTTCTATACTTTATTATCAAGTAAATTACTTAACCATTAAGTATTATTGGATTTTTTTTCCGTACCACAGAAGTAGTTTGCTATTAGTTTGGTAATTGATTGTAATCTATAAAGTTTCTAAACATTCTGATTGATAAAAAATGTATTAACCCGAGGGTGATTCCTGCATCTCTGGGAAATTTGATATACAAATGGTGAATAGTTTAACCAGCACATTTTGCCAACATTAAAGTTTCATATTTGGAAGTACAATTTAAGAGAGACATAATGCAATGTTTATGACATATCTTATTTACTTACACTCGTATGTTCGTGAACTAGTTTTGAACAAAACAGGCCGACCAATTGTGAGGAGTGCTCGGTGGGTTTGTGCCGGAGCGTGACAGATTTTAAATAGGTCAGATATATTCCCTCTATAATCTGCAGTAATGGTGCAAATATTGTTCGAAATGTGGCTCGTTCTGTTGTTCGGTTTTAAGCACAAATTATATCTCTAAATTGAGTGAAACCAAATTCAAATAATAATGCATAGGTTTATTACTGAATTGCCTGAAGAATGTATGCAAAACATTTTGCTGGTATCCTATTATAAATAATGGGCTCCTGTTAAGACGACATCGACGTCGAAGTTCGATTGACAAGTAGAACAAAGTTAGTTTATCATTCCCCAAGTAACTTGGTAGTCCTGAGAAATATAATTGAAATAGTGTATAACATTAATGTATCAATTATTGTATTATTTGTTACCGCAAATTTATAAACAGTTCATCATTGTATATTAATTCATTTAATCAGCTATAAGTGTTGTCGAATTTCATTTTCTATGAATCAGCTTTTGTCGGATAATACCAGATTTAGTTTTTTTGCGGTCTCGTTGAAAATGACCAAATAAATTTATTATGTTTATTCGACTTTGACCTTCTGCAACCTATAGCTAGTTAATTGAATGTCGAGGTCACCAACACTAAAAGCAGATTTTAATTTGTGAAACAACATATTGTCACGTTTTTCTTTCCTGAGACGGTAAGCAGGGATGTTTTAATGTACTTACTTTACTAACTTTATTATTTTATGTTTCTAGTTATTAAGGATAGCATATTTACAAAGTCTGGATGTTCATATAGACTCTTTTCTGTTACGGAGTAATTTTATAACGTAAGAAAGTTAGAAAGTAACGTATCTTTGAAGTAGTAGTTGGAGGTGTACCTACTTGAATCAAGTAGGCGAGGCATTGTGCTTTTCCAATTTTAAAAATTATGGATGTTTAAATTAAATTATATCTTAATTATAATGCTACGCGTAACGTAAACATTTCTATTTTAATTTGAAAGATTTAAAATAATGATTTTATTTGTGTAAGAGCATTATGGTTTCAAATTGTCAATCAGTGAGGACCATGTTTGAAACTATCAATATTATGTTTAATATTTAGTTTCGTTAATCGACTGCGCATAAGCTGTAGGCATGAATGAAGTAGATAGTAAATATTTATTTCATAAAAAAACAGCATAAGCTACAATGAAGGTTTTATTCCCTCCTAAAGCCTGCATAAACTTGAAGTGCGACATTTCAAAATGTTAACGTAAGTTTCGAGCAAAGAATAATGTTGTAGTGAAAGTCTACGTATTATGATAAAAATAAAGCCGCGACCGGTCAAAGGTGAGGCGAATGACCGGCGCGAGGGAAATAGGCCAGATTGTTAAAGAATGTTTGTTCTCGATATAGAACTGAGCAGTTAAATAAAGTTGATCGTATCCATTGTGAATGAAACGATTCAGACTAATTGTTTCAGTTTATCTATGTTCTGATACATTTTTTATTTGAAACTAACTGCCTCGGGAACTTTGTACTAAGTACTTCAAAATTATTTACTATGTAATTTACTTATTTTATCTGACATTTGAAACATTGCCTTCTTCTCTTTGATACGGAAATTACCAAATGTATTCTTATGTGTTGTGGTTGTTATCAAAATTACAGAATATAAGGCCATAACTCTAATTCGACCTTTCAAGTTCAGATTGAACAATGAAATGAATAATAAATGTTACAAATCCATAGTATGCACGATCAACTTTTTCTGTCTGCATTATGGATAAAAGCTCACATTAGAAAGATATCCTATAAAAATAAAGTTGGTTTAATTCTGAATAGGTACACCTCCAATTAAATCTTCGAGACATTGTTGGGAACAGCGAGACTTATAAATCGCAATTTGTATTGTAGTATCTAAATAAATGAAAATGTGGAACATCGTAAGAAATTACCTAGACGATGCGACGTCGTACCTAACTGCTCGCGATATTATACTGTTGGGCTGTATGCAAATGATGAGCAAGTTTTAATGATGTACGCTCGCTGAGAATCTTATACCCAAGTTCGGTAACCTGATGACGCAACCTACATTACTTTATCCTACTTCTAAATGGGGTCGCAGTTCTCTCATTTTTCTTCCAAGCGATTTTATCTTCCACACAATGGACCCGCAATTATCCAGTTTTACCCCATTCTAATGGATCGCGCTTTGTCTCAATAAATTAATTGTTAGCAGCAAACTAGTGCATTTAAAACCTCAAAGTAATAAAATTGCTGCATTCAGCTAAATCTTGAAAGGAGAAAATCTTGACAAAAGTCTCTGAGATTTACCGTGAATTGAGATTTACGTGAACGCTGCAGGAGGCTGGCTACACACGTAACTACAATGTCGACTAACCCGACTTGAATATTTGATTTTTAGTTGCACAATATCGTAACAAACAAAATCAAGAGATCTTGTGCAATGTATTCGTTCGTTAGAATCTGTATAGCTAGTCAATAAAAATTGGCTCTGCGTACTCTTGAGTTTGCATACTAGATTTTTATGTCATTTGTTTTTAGGTAAAAACATTTGTTTGGTTTTATATATATATATATTTTTACTTTTAGCATCGTATACAATCATGCGTTACGTTTAAACCGAGTTTACTCATTACCTTTATTTTATTAACAGATTGGACGTAACGGAAATGGTTTCTTTCCTTCACTTTTAATCTATCTTCCTGGGACTTGACACCGGTAAGTGATGTTTATACGAGCTTATAACACTTCATCACACTTCAATTACTTATGTTATAAGCAGCTCAAGTAATTGACTTTGTGTTATTACTGAGAATTTTGCTATAGTAACTTTAAAGTTACTCGCAGTTGAGCTCGGTAACAGCTTAGGTAACTTGGTATACGATACACACACAGTAAATTATTATTAAGTTTTATTATAGAAACTGGTTTTCTTCCGATCGTTTAAAATTCAATGGTTTACTGCAGGTTTTTGGTCATAGTCAATTAGGTAAGTATAATTCGATCAAATGCTTTGGTGAATCTTGAAGTAACATCTTTAGCTAATTAAGCGTTTCAGATATTCGAGTCGAAACATAGGCCGGTTGGCTTTCAGTTCATAATCGACCACGGAAAAAAAGGTTAAAAGAAAAATACTATGCAATAACCCGCTTTAAAGAAAAAATGTTTAAAGCCGAAGCGATCGAAAAATAAAGAATAAATAAAATAGGTAGACAAGCGACTATTTCTAGAGCAAAGCCCCTTGACAATATGACTTATCAAAGATTCAGTGTGTTTTGTAAGCTAGGCGGCCTGTGTCCGTATTTATTTATGAGCTGACGTATAGACACGTTATTATTGTGTCTGTACATTCAGCACTTAAAAGTGCTCTAAATATAGTCTGCGTCCATTCGTAGCTGACCTGCATATCAAAATTGGGTCTTAGTAAAGAATAGATATCTTATATTTTCGAGGCAGACTCAAGATGCTTGGAACCAACAAAGATAATTCAACAAATAAGAATAAAACGTCTTCAAAACTAATAGCAATTTAATAGCTTTGTATTAATGTTCATGTAAAGGTGTTATAAGTCAATTGGTACTTCATTAGTTGGAAATGTGTCGCTAATGAATTGGCATTAACATTATTATGTCTCGACAATACATTCGTCGTCCCACTGCAGACGTAGTTTACGTAGCAAAGTTATTGCAGCGAGATCTAGACATTCCACAAATCTTAATTAATATCTAATATAGTAGATCAAGAGTATTAATACTGATTATGAGCAAATCGTGCATAAACTGTGATTAAGTGATGCAGTGAGATAATGTGGTACATTTGTGTTTAGGTATGCCTGCCAAAATGATGAGCGCAAGAGGTGGCGGCGCAGCTGGTGGCGACGTCAGCGTAGCTGACAGCCCACTGGCTTCCTTCGAGACACTGACTCAAGCCGCCATCATTGCCGTCATGGGCATTGCTATAGTCGTCTCCAATATTCTTATTATAGCTTCCTTCCTTAACTTCAAAGGTGAGGTGTATTTAATCTAATATCTATAAAAAAAGGTCTCGTTCCTAGATTTTGCAACAATGTTGAGTGATTTTTTGCTAGTCCTTGTGCTTAATACTAGAACAGTCACGATCCGTAATCGGTTTTAGTCTGTATTATCCGCTGGAAAATTTAATCCGTGCTGAAGTGGATAATCTAGTGAATTGGTCAGGTTTCTTTCGAACGGTTTACATTAGTACATTGAACGCGAAACTGGAACACCAGTGTGCCTGTATTAACATAAAATTTCAATTACGTACATTCAATGTTTTTTTAATAAGTAGGTAGTAATTACCTGGTTCGTGGTTGGGGCGGTAATTAAGCGGCGTGGCTATGTAAACATATTTCTCTCTGTAGCGGTAATGATTTACTTTCGTTTGATATTTTTGTTTGGTTCATTGGAGCAAAATTAAATAGCGACGTGTTTGTTTAATGCAGGTCTTTCGAATGAAGTAATTAACTACTACCTACTATCGCTGGCTGTGGCGGACCTCTTGATCGGCGTGTTGGTGGTGCCGCTGTCCGTGTACCCCGCCATAACGGGGCGCTGGATGTTCGGCGACCTGATGTGCCGGCTGGCCGGCTACGTCGAGGTCACTCTCTGGTCCGTGTCTGTCTACACCTTCATGTGGATCTCCGTTGACCGTTATCTCGCAGTCCGGAAGCCTCTCCGCTATGAGACGGTTAGTGCGACGGTAGTTATCCTTTTCAATATTTTTTTTTAGCTAGCTAGCTTGCATCTTTTATGCATTCGCATTTAGCAATTTGATCATTCGAGTCTTTTGATGAAATTAAAATGAACAAAATCATTTTCCTTCCCTATGAAAGTAATTGATTCTTCTTGTAACTGTAATACTTATACTACTTGTACTAGTAGTCTAACATTTATTTTGTCTGTCTTTTTAAAATCTCCTTTGTACTTGATTACATTTACATCTACATTTTAGTCTAACTTTTCCTTTTGGTTAGCATGAAGATTGATTTTTTACCTAAAACTTTTCTTCCTATTACTTTTTCAATGATTTTGTCCCGGTTGAAAATACGATATAAAAATGATAGTGTAGTGTAGGCCGCACGTGTTCTAGGCTAATTATTAATAACAACGTCCATGGACCAGGTACAAACGCGCACTAGAAGCCAATGTTGGATGGTGTTCACATGGATTTCAGCTGCAATGCTTTGCTGTCCTCCTCTTCTCGGCTACAAAAAGGAAGCGAACTTCGACAAGGAAACTTTTATCTGCATGTTGGACTGGGGAACTACTTACGCGTACACAGCGACCCTCGGGATCCTCGTGCTGGGACCAAGCGTTATATCGATCGTCTACAATTACTATTATATTTTTTCAATGAAGCGTAAACTTAACAGCGGAGTGCCTATCCACGACAAAGAGTACGCGACTGCTCTAGCTGAGAACCTGTCGAACCCGAGTCACTGGATGAGCTTCATCATGGTCTGCACATTCTGGTTGAGCTGGACGCCCTACGTCGTCGTCAAGCTTTACGAATATTGTACGGATCAGGAAATAAAGATACCAATGTTACATTTCGGCGTAGTTTGGATGGGCATTTTAAATTCGTTTTGGAAGATTGTTATATTACTTATGTTCAGTCCACAATTTCGGCTAGCTCTTCGAATATTATGCCTGACGGCGTGCTGCCGCTCCAAGGGTCGCCTGGCTGCGGAGCTCATGGGCCTGGACAATGATGACTGAGTTCATCTTCTGGCAGGTATGTAAATCCTTTACGACGTCAACAACTTGAGCAACACGCCCTAATGTGCTGCAGTCAATATTATGGATTTAGATACCTTGCCTGGCTGTATCAGTCCCCCATGACCACGCTCGTGGGTGTGGAATCTTCTATAGAAACATATGATTGCCACAAGTTCTCCTAATATTCTAATATTGCTGTAATTTAGAAAGTCGTGATGTTTGTTGACAATGTAAAGTTGCTGCTGATTGTTCATCCTGTTTTGCCTGACACGACGAATGTAGGTTCTACAGGTTATCTAACGACGGTTACTCAAACAGTGGATATTTCTATAGACTGCAATGTGTAATTGTTTTATAATTTCGGTAGGCAATGACTTTTGACAATAATGTGTTTAAGTTGGAAGTAAACACTTTGCTCTGTGCAATAAAGTTCATATCATTTTCTCAATGTAAATTCGTAACTTCTAAGCATTATGTAGTTTCTAACTCATTCTAAATTAAAAATCTAAGAAATGTTTGCTATTTAAATAAATATTTATTTAGATTGTTAATCTAAGTATCGTGTAGGTTAGAGTGTAGTCAGATATAGGCCGCTTTTCAAAGGCATTTGTTGATCCATGTACTATCGAAATGTCTCGTGAATGATTTCTGTATATTCATATGAAACGGAGCAAAGCATTGAGACTTAGGTTCGTTTTGTATGAACGTGTCAATCGCACTGTTAGAATTAAAGTAACCCCTTAGAATTACTATAGACTGACATTGTACATTTCATAACCATGTGCATAAAAATAAATATTTAAGTTTTTAAGGCTATCGCGTTTTTTTTTATTGGTTACCGCAGGCGGGCGACTGGTTACAGCCACAAAACGCCGTCACTGGCATATTTCCGACAGTTTTGACAGTGTTCACACGTTTTATGTGGACTCGATCGCTTAACCAAACATGATTGACGTTGGTAGCAGCGTCACGCTTCTTGTTTTGTGTGTGCATATGACATAATTCAGCCACTGACCATAATTTTAGTAGCGTATATCGGCTACTAGGCTATATAGGCTACTATGCCTGTCGTGCCCTTTAGCTACTTATGTGGCTATTTCTCGTTTCTATTGGAGAAGTTTTGTATCTGTAGCCGGTAGCTCCTCGGCGCCGAGTCTTATTCAGCATATATTGAACTTAGGGCTGATTTTTCAATGGTCACATAAAAGTTATCTGGAGAATAATTACGATGCTGTCACGTCAGAATGTTTGTATAAGACAGTAAGAGCAACAATTTTAATCCCCAGATAACATTTATCTGACTATTAAAAAATTAGCCCTTAAGTACATTAAAACAGCATTGCGTTGTAACTATGACAGTGATTCAGAAAGGTAATAATAATAATGGAATCCGATAATCTTTACTATTTCTCTGTACTATCTTCAAAAGTATATTGTTTATTTCTCATAAATTGCTTTTTTGAAATTCGGTTACTTTAATTCTATGAGAGCGGTATGTTTGTTAGTCATGTTAATTCTAAATTTGTAATGTGTTCCATTTAAATATGTATAGTACAAGCCAAATGTTATGTTTCGCTTAGACGTTACGTCGGCTAGAGATGTAAAATATTTACAAATCACCAATATATACATACGTTATATATAATAGAATATCTAATACATACGTGTATCGTAGCAATACCTGAAGTTGGATAGAATATCTTGGAAAGTAAACAACTAGTTGGAAGAAATCACTGAGCTAGAAAGGTATGCCAGTGTTTCTGTACATGATAAGATGCAAGAGTTTGCCTTAGATAGGTACTGGTAGTGTAAAAGAAACAATAATATTAACAGATGAAATATTTATTTGAAAAAAAAAACATAAAGTCAATATCAATAAATGATTGTCCAATGTTTTCAATAAAACTGACAATTATGGAAACAAGTGACGGTCTGTTCAAAATATAGCTAATATTCCATTTGATTTTATAGAGTTCGATAAATAATTGAATTATACATTACAGCTAACTAGCTGTAATATAAAACCGTAAAAGCCTGTCCATTCGTGACGTTATAATTTCATTTGAATTTTGTAAATGTTGTACGTGTATTTGAAAATCCCAGAATTTTGTTTGTATTCATTTATATGCCGACACTTTAATAGTTTTCATAATATCGGTACTAATGAGATTTCCAAGAATACGTGAAAAATCATTCATGATTGAAATTATGATATGAAAATCACATAAGTGAGCAAATGAAAGCCTGCTGTGCTTTGAATCTGCCTTGGTTATAGAAATACTATATAACTAAGAAATTAATATAGTTATGTGAAAATTGCGATTAAAGTCAGCACAAGAATTTGGTAGGAGGGCAAGAAAATGAACACTAATTCAATAACCGTTGGTACTGAGTCGAGTACCGACCATGGTTACAGAAAACTAAGCTTTCGATAAAAAACATAAAATTTAATGAATGTGAATGTAAAAAGATAATAAGTTCTCATTTTCTTACCTGCGTATCAAATACACAAAAAAGGATATTATTGTGCTGTTTATAAAATTAAATTACAACATAAAAATATTTACCTAATTCTGGGATATTCAGGACGTACATAGTTGTGCAGTTACGAAATTAAACTTTAATTTCGTGCTAGCCGTGCTCATTTATTTTAAATGAAATTAGCGGACGAACGATGGCCGTCTCGTGCAATGAAGTTATTCAACAATCCAGAGAACAAATTCAAGAGCTAAGTAGATAATTGGGATATTTACAGAGTAAGTGAATAAATAAATCCAATTTATAAAACTCTTAATATTTAAAATAACGACACTTCCATATATAATGAATAAACTCAGTAATTAGTTGTCGCTAAGTTATCTAGCTACTATATAAAAAGTATGCTAGTTGATGTGATTTCGTACAAAATTAATAGAAAATTGTTATATCTAGTTTTTGGACAAAGTATTGAATTAGAATCGTCATAACACCTATTCGATACTCGCCCGCCGATATAAAATCTTATATTCTCAAATTGAAGGCTGTGCTTAGACTATCTATGATTTCCTTAATTTTTAGATGGTAATAATAATTAGTTGTTATTTAAATATACTTCTACTGTCTACTGTCACTGCCTGCGATAATGTATTTAGTGTACTGCTAAGGATAAATAACGATATAACCGTATTGCAGTAACTGCATAATATATTGCTGGGCGTCAACGACTTGACACCACGGGGCGCCGCGCTGCGTCATACTGTAATTAACGTTCTTAAACCAATTATGCGATGTGGCTTGTTATTTAGAGAATTAATTTAGACTAAGTTATCGTGTGTCTTAAATATGTTTTAATTATATTTAAGTTGATGTTGTACTTACCTACATTAGGTATTTATCAAAACTGCCTTTTTGTATTAGTTCTAGTGATTGTATTGTGTTGGTTTCCATGTTTGTGTACTATATCTATTCTGAGTCTTCAAAGTGGGCTGTGTACTGCTAGTTCTGTGTACGTAACTGAAGCTCTGAATTGTTAATAGGCTGCAGATATAGAACTCCGATCATTGTTGTGTCAGAAAGCCTTTTTATTATGAATTAGTTTAATAAAACTCCAAACTTATATACCTATGTCTACCTGTGTATATTATATGTCACTTTAAATTTAAGTAAATACCTACTACTTAATTATATGTTTATGTGACTCTTGTAACTTTATTTAGTGTTGTATCCTTGTAAAACTTAATCCCTCATATTTATTTAGTCTTGTTATTGTAATTAACTTGGGTAATTTCTCGACTTCCGTTTTACAATTACAATAGTAATAAATCAATCGAACCTCATATTTTTGTCCTGTAAGAAATAATAAGACGACGTTTATTTTTAAATATATAATATAATTTTAATGGCATTTTTGGGTTAATTTATTTCTATTAGGTATATTCTTCGTCTAGAAACATAACATAGAAATGGAAATAATAAACAAATAAATAACTGTTATTTATGTTATAGGAAATATGATTATAAAACAACAAATATACAATACAGTACTTACTAAAACATTTGAAACGATTACACTGCCTTGGAAATTCAATAAAATTTATTTAAATAAATAAAATAATCTAAGACATTAATAAATCTTTTAGCTTATTCATTAACTTAAAATTTTTCTTCGAACTATGTATATACCTAAACGTAGTTAGGTAGGTACGAACGTAAACAGAATAATATATAATACAATACGTCAGAATAATCTAGTTTGTTATTTTATTTATTAAAATTTCAACTATACTAGATTTGACATAAAGTAGAAAATTTAACAGCAAAGGTAGGCTGACCTGTTTGCCTCTGTACGTATGCTCTTTGGAGTGCTAGTATTTGCCTTAAGTACACAGAAGTTCTAGAAACGCAAACACCAACAAACTAATCAACAATAAGTAAACATGAACATTTGGATATAGAGATACATATATGCATGTATACACTGCAGCAAGATCTTCATTAAAGAAAAACTATTTACATCCTTAAATAGTTAGCTTTAAAGTATAAAATGGTTCAATAGAAGGCAAAAAGTAAATATTTTATATATTACGGAAAGTTAAATAATGAAATAAATAAATCCTCACTCGTACCTATTATTAACGTAAAGGCTGTAAAGCCCGAGGCTTATAGGTCACGTTTTCATTGTAATTATTTCATATTATTAATCTTCAATGTAAAATTACATTATTTGCATCGTTGAATATGTCAACACTTGATACTGAACAGGAATGTTCATTGTTCAAGAGTTTTTAATACAATATGTGATTACAATAAATTGACACAAACGCTTTGTTTGATAGAACGAACATCCCTCTTCATAATTTCAACGGAAAACTGTTTTTGCAATGAAGTGCACAACAATTCGAATACTCAATTAACATGTAAAATTTAAATAAAAAAATAATTGATATAATTATGAACGATAATATATTGCGGTCAATTTATTTCTGTCGTGTCTATTTATTTATGCGAATGTGCAGTTGCGTGGTCAGTGTTGTTCTTTTTATAATGCAGGCTCACAGCTGTCGTGTGTGACGGATTGTATTAATTAATGGTAGTGATTCTGCGAGTGGGTTATGGAGAGGTGATCCATCACTCGTAAAACACCTGCGCAGCTGACTTTTAGGTAAATTGAATAGTCAATGTTCATAAAAATCCATCGTACCTACTTATTGATAGGAAATATATTTCGAAATTTTTAGATGAGAAAATTATCCGAATGATAGCGTAGGGCGGCTAGAAGTAGTTAATGACAATCGTAAGCTTTAGATGTGAATGACTGGTAAACGAAAACGAAAACAACAATAGTATCCAAATGTAAATCAATACGCTTCACTATATTTGTAAAGAATATATATTTGATATTAAAAAGATTATTCATACATACATACATACATACCAACATACACTATTATAAATTTTTGACAAAATCCGTT